CGTGCGACTACCGTTTTCCAGTGAGATGCTCAGAGTCGAGGCTGTGCCTACAGGCTCCGAGGGGCTTCAGGGAGGTAGGGAACTAGGTAGGGGCCATATAGGGTTTAGTGTTTAGGATTTAAGAGGGTTGTGGGTTCAATATGTAATAGGTGTTAGGGTTGAATAAGTAATAGGGTTTAGGGTTCAATTGATAGGATTTAGGGCGTTTGCCTGCGCATGGATGAGTATCCATGCTTCGACGGCGCCACCCAACTTCCAGGGATTTATGTGTGGCGGCACGTCCTGCGCCCAGTGAACCTCGTGCACGTCGTCCGAATCCATCGAAACTGGGCTTGCTTTACACTTCCCGCCCGCTGTGAGACATCACAGGCTACCACAAGTTACTTCCTGTTAGGGTTGAGGGCTAGGCCTTCAATTCCCATCTCAAGATCGTCTTCTCACTTGTGATTCCCAAGTTTTCATCATCATCATCATCATCATCACGGGCCCACTACAGCCAAGGGTCCAGCATTTCCCTGAGAGCCCCCTGTTCTGAGATTGACGCCCAATTGCAACCTTTGTGTTTCGGGTATTCCCATCAAGGGGAAAATCAATGTACATTGTAGAGATTCGACCTTGCAGGGTGTTCCCATCCAGGGGAGTATCAATGTACATTATAGAGATTTTGCCTTTCAGGGTATTGCCATCAAAGGGAACATGAATTTGCATTGTAGAGATTTGGCCATTTAGGGTATTCCCATCCAGGGGAAAGTCAACTTACAGTGTAAAGACTTGGCCCGGGGGTGGCTGGATGCCTCCCGATGTACGGGAGGAGCCCGGACCAGGCTCTTTAGGTCCACTCTACATAGCCTCCTCCCATTGTCTTACCCGACGGGTGTAAAAACTGATGTGTGTATTCTTCAGTGTCTGACCACCCTAGTAATTTCGGGGTCAAGAGGTAATAGGGTGTAGGGTTGAGGGTTTAATCGGTTTAGGGTTTAGAGGGTTACATAGGGATAACGGACACGAAAATGGAAGGGTTTAACTGTATAGGCATAATGGAAGAGAACATCATGGAAATTACGATTAGTGTTTAGGGTTTGGGATTTGTGGTTGAGTTACGGCGCCTAAGGGGGGTTGTTTAGAGGCCTTGTAGGGGAAATATACAGAAACATAAGAAGGATTCTATTTTCTGGGTTTTGGGATTTATGACTGCCGGCCGATTTCGGGTTTGGCAACGCAATCTGGCGAGGATATTTGCGTATCAGCACAGAAGAATATTTGGCCTATTTGAAAGTATGTTGGATGTCCTCCAGGCCTGTCCCAGGGTTACCTATGTAGCAAGTACTGGATTTTTACTTGAAAGGTCTACCCCGCTGTTCACCTACTGGCTGAGGTACTGATTCCTCCCTTCTCCAACTAGGCAATGCGTGAAATGGGGACTCAGGGCGCTGCTCCAGAGGTCAGGTATTGTCATGTTTCTGCAATACGGACACGCATTTTTCAAACATGACTTACAAATACACCAAACCCCCAAGCGCTGAAGCATGGGGCTGTTGGAGCTTGTATACCTCTTCGGGTGGTGCCGGGAATGGGAGAAATTGCTTGCCAGTGAGGAGGAGGTGATTGCTTGTTTCGTTGTTGTGTGTATTACCCTCCGCCAAGTAAGGTGGAAGCTCTTATCCCAAAGGCACATACCCGTATGGCATATACTTGGGGTTTCATGAGTTCCCATACTGCGGGTGATGTATGATGGGGCCTAATTGCATTCAGCTTAAGAATCTCACAGCATGTCAAATGACGCCCTGAACGTGATGAGTAGCCTAGTCCGGTCCGCTTCTAGAAAATATACATCCATAGGACCCGCTGCATGAATTGTAGTAGACGTGAGTGTTTATCTGAATCGCATAAGGTGTGTACAGGAATGGTATTTCTGCTTGCTTGCGCTTTCAAAGCGCGTTTATAAGCCAGGCGAATCTCACGTGGCAGTGCTATTGTGCCAGGAACTTTGCAACTTCTTGCAAGGACCAAGAGTTTCAGTCTACAAGCCGTAAGAGAAAAATCGTATGCAGCAACACAAGCTATATATATATATATGTATGTATATATACATATATACAAAGTTTCTGTGCCATGAGCAATTCAGTGGGGTCACAGCCTGGAACTTTGCAGCGAAAAGAAGTCCTACTGCAGAAGCCAAAATACTTACCTATAACGGAAGATCAAGTGGAAAAGAAGTGAAACATGACATGGAAACTGGGCTTACCACGTTGGCAATTAATTGTTTCAGCCGCTACATTACTTGCACTTGCACTCCAAGCTCTACCTGGATTCTGGAGTCGCCAATGCATGTTGGCAGAAGGGAGTTGTACCTGTATAACGGGTTGGTAATATCAGCTCTTCTTAAATTATCAGATTACTGTAGCTTAGCCCGAGGCCGTGCACCATCCTGCACCTTGAGTCCGTAAAGCGTAAATCTGAGACGCGGAATCCAGAGGAGAGGAGAGAAAAGGTCCCGCAAAAAATCTGAACCCTTACACCCCAAGCCGTCCTCACCCCGGACTCTAAGCCTTGACAGCCATGAACCTCAAATACGGCTGGCAAAGACTTCCCAATATCCATGCTGATAACTCACACCCATGATTTTGTGGTTGAAAACCACACTTCTGGGTATCTGGGAGTTGTAGACGAGGCTTAGGGCAGGGTATGGCAGGGTCTACCAACAACCTACAGGTTTAGGGCTTAGGGTAAACCTCAAACCCAAAGACCCCAGACCTTAGGGTTCTGAAGGTGCCATCGACTACGACCTTAATCCCAGCCTCCGTGGGCTGACGCCCCTCGAGGTCGGCTTAGTAATTGCTTCACCTAGGTTTAAGGTTCAAGGTTTAGGGTTGACGGTTTCAGGCTTTCCCTAGCAGACGCTTTCCCCTCACGACTACACCCCCGCATTCAGTACCAACATGCATACATACATACATACATACATACATGTACATACTTTTATACAGATATGTATATGTGTACGTCTACAAAACTCATTTACGCACACATACACATTCTTGGTGATTTGTAGGAGGTGCATTTTTGGCTGTCGCAGGGAGTTCTTCACGTTGAAGGGTTGCGGTTTGGCTCCGGGTTTACCCTTACCTGGTTTAAGATTTAGGGTCGAAACTCTCCACCTTCAAGATGGAGGTTTAGGGTTCAGGATGTGTAGTATCAGCTGGAAGGGCCTAGACCTCCACCTGCCTTTTATTAGTGACTAAATACCCACCATTAGAAGCCATATGTCCCCAACTAAGGGTACCCTGTACCTAAATACCTAGATCGTCCCAGTTTCCATTTCATTTTCATTGTTCTTTCCCATCTGAGGTTCCATTACTCCTAAATATCCCTATATGTCTCCACCCTAAACCCTAAACCCAAATAGTTGCCGGGCGCCAGACTTTGTGATTCACAGGTGTATATAATGATCAGGGGATAGACGACTCCGGCCCCGCACCTTCAGGTTTCAAGATTTAGGGTTTAAGGGTTTTACGGGGGTTGTGTCGGGGTTAGGCAGGTTAGATAAGGTGATAGAAGGGTTTTCCAATGAGCTCTAAAGGTTTTACCAACGGGGTATGAGTTGGTCAGACGGAATCACTATCTAGTCCCCTGGAACTCTAAGTCTGTGTTGCCTACATTGGGCCCTCAAGTCAACAAAACGTACCTGCATTGAAGTATTTGGAGCCTCAGGGTTGGATTACTTCGCAGTGCCTGAGGCTCGAATTACACCTTCTGCAGGATGCTTAGGCTGCGTCTTCCAGGGCTCGTATGCCTTTTTAATGTTTGCTTGATGCTTGCTGGTAGGGGTGGGCTTCTAAGGACTTTCATGCACCCTATTCTGGTAACCCTACGGACGTACGAAGTTTCAAGAACCCGGCGTGAGGTCTACGACCGCGTGGTTGAGCACTTGGGGGCTGCAGGAGTTGCTGTGCCTTGTCTGTCATTGATATGGGTTGCTGTGAAGGAACTTAAATGAAGTTACAACAATGGACATATATAGTAGCACAGTAGTTAGTATGGTTCCCCCAATATAGTAGCTTAAATCAAGTTCCATAACAGCAACCCAGTGATGGGGACAGTGCTTCGTCAAAAGCCAACATCAGGTCTGTGGTTTCTCAAAGCACCTTCAACAATACAATTCACACTAGATTATCCTAAAGCAGCGAACGCCTATTTCTGGGTCCTATGAGGCAATGTCATCGACGCTGTAGAATCTACTGTAGTTGTGCCATGACTTCTAGGTTTTTCGCTTAGAGATTAACTCAGCCCTCTCCCGCAGCAAAGGCAACAACCAAAGAGTCATCCCTAAGGCTTAAAGCCCAACTTCAAATCATAAACTTTGTAAACAGTCCCTAACGTGAAGGTTTAGCGTTGAGGGCTCGATCAATCCCGACAGGGCAAACTCAAAGCCATCGAATCCCTGTAGCCTTCAAGGTCGTCATGAACAACCACACGTCCATGGTCGCTGTAGGACAACTCACTCAATTCCCACGGCACGTAAGGTCGTCAGTGACGACCCCGTCATCAGCGACAGTCACAACATCCAAACCCCTCACCTCGGTTCAGAAGTTGTAATCATCTCAAAACCTATAGTCACCCTTAAGTAGATAGAACGTGGCGTTGGGTCTGTTACACTAAATCCCCATATACCCCATATTCTATCTACTTAAAGGGGACTATAACCCCAGAGGTGGCTGTCAACAATCATACCATCGACTGGTCATTCTTTGACGGGTTCTACCAACCCAAGGGCCTTGCCTCCGAACGCCAAAAAATGAATCCTAATCAGGAATCTTTGAATCACAAACTCACAAACGCAAAACCCCAGGGCTCAAGATTCCTATTGGTGGTTAGTATATAGGGAGAAAGGAATATACGACACAGGGATTATGTTTCCTTTATCCTTACTAACCTACAGTAAGGGCTTCAAACCCTAGACAATACAAAGCCCATCACATCCCCGACCCCCTATCCCTCAGGTCGTCATCAACAACCACACCACTGTGGGGTCCTGGAGTGGCGGCGTGGAGCTGAACGGTATGTGGTACCGCCCCTGAGCTGCAGGGAGTGTTTAGGGTGTTTAGGGTTTAGGGGTTAGCAATACACCCTAAAACCTAGGGTTTAGGGGTTCAGGGTTTCTAGGGTTTAGGGTTCAGGGTTTAGGGTTCAAGGTTTCTAGGGTCTAGGGTTCAGGGTTTAGGGTTCAAGGTTTCTAGGGTCTAGGGTTCAGGGTTCAGGGTTTCTAGGGTTTAGGGTTTTCCTCGTTTTGGAGGCTTATACATGAGGTTCCTCGCATAGCAATCCTAAATATCTACGTGCCATCAAGTGAGACCTGGCCAAAAGGTTGCTGGATATATGCCCATATTCGTTACTAAGAACCTGTACAACGAAGGTTAAACCTTACAACCCTACCTGGAGGGTCACAGGGACTCTGGAAGCAGGTTCATAACCGGGACAAATGGGGTTTGTTATAATATGAATTCCAAGCCCCCCTGCCCCTTGGAGTTCACAGGATACCCGCGGTTATCCCCATGGTATTACACGAACCGACATACTAAGCCCCTCTGGCTCTCCAGAGGGATGACACGCGAATTGTTCTACAAATTACCCAGAGCGGCCAATGTCCCGTAGTTAGGGAATATACCTTGAATCATATTTGGGACCCTAGTATAGTTTATGGTATATTCCCTAAGAGATGCGTGATTTTCTGGGTACCTCCTAGTTCCCCTACTTGCCCTGGCACCCGAAAATAGCATAGGTCGCCAAGACGTGACCCACACTTCTCCTGCATAGTCCTTAGTTGGTTAGACATTGGAATCATCGAGATGCTGAGAAACTGTTGAGTTTTCTATCGAAGCAGAAGAGAGAAGAAATGGTGAGCAGATAATGGCGATGTTCAGACCAAACCAATGTGTTGGGGAGTCTTTCTGTGAACATCTAACGCGCAAGATCGAGGGGCCAACTGGTTTCTTCTGATTCTTCTGAGTGCTGGTTGGAAAAAGAAAAGCCCCCTTAAACGAACCATCTTTTCCAGATAGATAACAGTAAGAATAACAATAATAGTAGCAACCATAACAAAAAGGCTGGTAATAGTGGAATCTATCAGGTGATGGCTGTGCGACCTACACGGAAGATGCCTGGATGAGCGATTGGGTGATGATGGCCGAGCGCTACAGGGACATGGGGCTACCTGGCAGGAAGATGTCATGCGAACGGCCGTGCCCCAGTATCTTAGTATCCCAGGAGTACCAATTAAGTTAAGTGTGACCCATGATTGGAACAACGGCCATAGCAGACAGGCCGTCATGCGGACGTCCGCCGCGTTGGCAGGAAGAAAGGAAGACGTTGAAAGTTAAGTGCATATTTTGGGGAAATCACATTAATTGCTATGTGTATATATATATATACGCATTATGGTAACTTGAGTTCCTCAACAGCAACCCATTATCCTGGCGAGGCAGAGATGTATATCATAATGAGAGGAACATGGCAACATGGCGAAAAGTGTGCAACGTAGTGCCCGCTAGCAGGCACTTGTCGTCGGATGTTTTAAACGTCCCACCTGTCCAAGTCAGGCAGCATGTAAGTCCATTTGCATGTCCCTGCGGCGCCTAAACCCTAAACCCTCTGTGTTTTGTGAATTCATGCCATTGAGGATCCAGCAAAGTTCCATTGTATCGCCGGAGGTAGCGATACTGATTTGCCAGCGCAACAAGCAGAGAGGGCGCGCATTCTGATTAATGACCCTACACCCTAAACCCCAATCTTTACTTCCCAAGCATACCGGCACTTGGGGACCACGCCGAGAAGCTGTGCAGCTTGTTGGTTCAACATTGTAGGCTGAAAGCCCTTGAGCTGCCACCCTTGGCTTTGGTGTACCTCCCCCAGACCCCTAACTCATGGGTTCTCCTACTCCCCCCCCATGTTCCCCTGCCCCCCACAAAGTTCCCCGTTAATAATGGTAATTGAGGGATGGTTAGGGGAACCCGTGACTAAGGTTTAGGGCTTAGGGTTTGGGGTATAGTCCCCCTTAAGTAGATAGAATATGGCTTTGGGTATATTATAATAAGATCCCCATATACCCCATATTCTATCTACTTAAGGGGAACTATAGTAGTTTCCATTTCATTTTCCATGATCCCAATACAACCCCTATAAAACTGCACCATACTATAGTAGTTTCCATTTTATTTTCCATTATCCCTAAGCCTGAACCCCAAACATCAGCCCAGGTACCACCAAGTCATCGGTTATGACTTGAGGAACGAGGTGCGGGGAGACATACGCGTGTACGAAGTCTGCTACTTACGAGAAAGTCTTGCGCTTAAGGTTTCGGGTTTCGGGTTTAGGGTTTTAACATACAGTTTCATGGTTCAGGGTGTAAGCTCTTCAGGTTGTAGAACGAGGGTGTAGGTTTTAGGTGCGGGACTTGAAGGAGTAGCCGGAACAGCATGTCGGGCTGTGCCTTGCCGCCTTGGTTCGCCCTCAGTCCCCAACCTGATTAAAAAGGGGCAGGATTTGGCGCAGCGGACAGAAAAGCCCAAGATAAATTCACAATATCACAGAGTAATACCTTAGACACTGATGGCTGTATGGATATTGTACAGTCCTGCAGGATTTATAGCAAACACTACTTCATCCTACACCCCAACCCCTTGTTCAATCGTAAAGTAATTAGTTATCAGGATGGAGTGATTTCAAAGTTGGTCTACGCGATGGCTGGGGCTGAGGCTTTTTTTTTGTTGTTTCTTTCGGTTTTGGGGTTTGTGGTTTTAGAGTTTTCCCTGAACCCTCAACCCTAAACCCTAGCGGGGTTTAGGGTTTAGGGATCTCTACTGGCCCAAGTACCCAAGAATAGTACAGGTGTTTAGGCAAGTAATTGATTATTGAGTCCATGGTATAGGGTACCTCACACAGACTTCAAAACCCTAAACCCTAACACAACCCTAAACCTAGTTTTTAAGCCCTACAGTACTTGCTGTCTTAGGGTTTCAGCCTAGCTAAGTTGGGGCTTTCGAGGCCTCAGGATGAGTTATTAGATACAGCTCAATGTGTTCGAACCCTAGACCTTAGGAGGACCCCCCCACCCTGTAATCGTGGTATAATAAGAATATAAGAGGACCCCAATAAGATCCCGATTATCCCTTATAGTCACTATTACTGGGTGCGGGGTCCACCTACCCTAGACCCTAATGTTGTTGAATATCGTTTTACGTCTTCATGTATACCTCAAGCCAATATAGATTCAATTCATAGATTGGAAGCAGTATTTTCCAGGGCACCTCGACAACCTGAGTTTCTCAACAATTCCCTATGCACTCCGATCGCGTAAAACGGGCCCCTGTCTTTTGAAAAGCTCCCAAGTAGCCTGCAATGCAGGTGCGCCCTACGACCATGACGGGACCCGGCCCGCGCTGGGGAGAGCGAGAGCGTGGGGCAGGCGCCGTCCTTGCACCTTTAGGCCTGGGGATCCATGTTCCAGGATCCTCCTGGTAACTTTTCAAACAGGGGTATATGGTAGGTTTATGAATATTACCTATGTTGGGCCCAAAAGAATATAAATCGTATCTATTTCGGGGCTTGGGGATCCCTAGAGTAGGGGAAACAGGGTTCAGGCCTTTGCGGAGCTGGATTCAGGGCTTATGATGTAAGGCCCTCAGAGCACGGATCTCAGGCAAATGGGCTTCCAGGGAGATCGTAAACGAAAGCATTCCGATTCCAAAGCTAGTGTTGACGGCCTATGTGGTTGTTGTCTCAAAGTGGCGGGGTGGGGTGCCCCTAATGAGGGAACTGGGGAGACAGATAGAGGGCTGGTGAAGTCTTGTGGGGATCATGGGGGGGTACATTCTTTTGTTCATAGACGGCTTGTTTTGAGAAATGCTTACCTTACAAGTCACAAGCATGCTCATTGAAATATGAGCTGTAGACTAAACTCCTTGAGGGGGTTATGTAGGGGACTATAGGGGAGTATTAGAGGTGTAGTTAAGGGGAATAGTAGGATTTTAGACCATATATCTCATATGATAGAACATGTTTGCAACACCGAATCCGTAGTACTTGTTGGGTTATAGCCCTGTCTATAGATGTTCTAGATATGGGAGCTGAGCATTCAAAGCCTGAACCGCAACCCTAAATCCTTAACCCCAACTCCCTAGACCCTAAATCCCTTAACCCCCAATCCCTTAACTGTAAACCCTGCATTGAAGCTTTGCTTGTAATCAGCAGGCAATTGAAAGCACGGTTTAGGGTCTAGGATTCCAGGACAGATATGTAAAGAACGCGCAACTTGCACCTGCCTTCAAGGGTCCAAGTACCCAAATGGTCGGGCTGTATGTTCCAACATCTACCCAAGTTTTAGTATTTGGGCCTAAGATCCCGGTGTTGGGGTAATTTTGCCTTGAACTCTCAACCGCCTATCCCCCTCTAGCCACCCCTTAAAAAGGAACCCGGTACTTGGACCCTAAACCCTATAAACCCTAAACCGTACACCCTACAGCTGTGCAGACGTAAACGAGTCCCAAGGGTTGTTAAAAAAAAATACTTGGACTCTTAGGGTGCGAAATTCATCTGCGATATCCAGGCAAAGGTGCCTGCTGTCAGCGCAGCCACATGGCAGCTAAGCGGTCTGAAGCATGAGATTCTTGCAAAAGGTTTAGGGGTTAAGAGTTAGGGGTTTAGTAGGGGTTAAGGATTTTAGGGTTTCGGGTTTAAGGGTTTACGGTTTAGGGTTTGGGGTTGAGGATTTCGGGTTGAGGGGGCCTATACAGACAATGTAAGGTATTGGCCTAATTGATTACCAACATTGCGGGTCCTAGATTCCTCGCATCATGGAGACTCAAGTGGACAAGACAGTTGAAAGCAGAATGTACGTCGAGGTCATATAGGTGTTCATGGGGATAATTCCCAGATTATCCCTGCACACTTGTGGTATAGGGTACTTCAAACAGATCTCACAATGACACTGACAACAATTCAGGCTTCTAGATTCATCTAGGGTTTAGAGTTTGAGGATCCGAGGGCTCACATGCCCTAAAGGGCTTCGGCTTTGGGGTTTCCGGGTCTGGGTGTTACGGTTTAGGAATCAGCATTCCATGTTTGGGGGTGTGACTGTTTGTGCTATTGGAAACCACAACTCTAGAGCAGCTGCATTGTCCACACACCCTAAAGCCAAGCCCCTATAAACCCTAAACCATCCTAACCTGAACTCATCGAAACAGAGGTCCGGGCTAACAAAGTGGAGGGAGGATTTGGGCTCACAACGCTTGAGGTCTTGAGCCCTGTTCCCAGAGCAGAGTGTGCCAAGCACCGAAAATCCCCAAGGTTTGAGGACTGGCCGCATGAGAACTGCCAGATAAACCTAGATCTCCACTACGGCGACATGTTCAGGGAACCCGCTCTTACGCCTGGACCATGCTGCTCTTCATGCAGCCCTTGAGAATATGAGCATGGAAACGGAATTCATTTCGAAGACGGGCAAACCTCAGATCCTGGTTCCCGGTACAAGTGGAAAATCAGACAAAAGTAAGAGCAACGGGCAGGCATTCACTCCATCCTTTGCTCGTGCTGACTGTTGTAGGCCAACAATCTAACACACAAGTCTTGAAACCATCTAGCCACAGAACGACAAGGAATAGAAGCTGAAGGTTTGGAGAAGGGGGTTCAATGTCAGCCATCATGCAGGCATAGGCAAGAACAGCCTTCTGCACTGATTCAGGACTTTGGGCTATCCTCGGAACGGTTGAGGGGATTCCCTTCGATAGGGCCTTGAGCAGAGTTCAAGACGCATTTTGTGCTGTGGCCGTGAAGTTTCGCTAACGAGGGGCGAGCATGAACGAAACCGACAAGACGGCCTTCAACAAGCTGCAGCCAGAAGTCAAGAAATTGAAGCAGCGCGCAACATTTGTTGGTCCGTTATGAAGTAGCTCGTAAGCCGCAACATAGAATGTCAAGTTATCTTGGAATCAGCATACTCCCCCTGAGCTTCTGACCATTTTAGTACAGTCTCAAATACATTCCCTGATAGGAACCCATGCCCATGAGTTATATTGGAAATATAAGTCGTAGCCAACATGAAGCCTCCGCAATCCTTCAAACCAGAGCCTCCATGTAGTCCACGGCCGTCATTAGAAGGATGCTTGCGGTGGTTTCTTGGTACATAGCGCACCTGGGGGGAACCACTTTGGGTTGCTCTTCGGGCACGCCACATCAAGAGGCCACATATAGGTGTCTCCAGACTCCAGATATGTAGGACAGCAGTTACAATCGCCTGCCAGAACGGGTGCCCCTTCTTTTATATCAAGCCTAGGCAAGACCTTTATACCCCCCCAAAACACCAACGGAGGACAGCCAGTTGCAAACGCTCCCAGGCGAGGATGTCAGAGATTGGTCGCGTGCTGCCCGGTTATGCTCCTGGGCTGTTTTATCTGACACTGGGCTCCGCATGGGACTTGGGGTTCAGGTTTGGGAGGAAACCCTAAGCTCCGACATATTGGGATAACATTGGCTTTATATAGGGGTAGTCTTAGAATTGTTATACAGGGGATAATTAGGGATAATGGAAATTCGAAAACTACTATTAAGGGAGGGTTTGGGTTCAGAACTTTTCCTGGTCGTAACCTTACATGCCATGCCTTTTTTAAAAGTGGCATCCTTATACATACACCTCAGACAAGGTAGACAAGAAACGGATCCTGAATTCAACAAATATGTCCGGCTCATTGGCGCTCACGTTGCGCCATTCCCCTACTAGCCCCAACGCCCAAGAACTTCTGACTTGGCATTGTTGCAGTACTGGCTTTAACTTGATTACTTAGTTTCTTCGAAGAGTATACAGTCATGTGATACTAGACTTCCTGCTGGAGCTCAAGAGAGGCAATATTTTAACATCATGATACATCATATAATTGCGGAGGTGGGGGGCTTTGTAGTACTTGGCACGGTTCATAGATTCATGTATGCAAATTTTAGCACCGGTCCGGTCTTTGCGAGTCCTGGGCAAAATCTATTGACTGACCAGGGGAGCCAGCGCTCTGCTAGCACACCTAGCCTCAAGACCCGAAAACCTAAGTTCTAGTTATGAGACGCTCTTACGAGGAACCTGTAACACATTTTGAAACTCAGCTTTCTTACCATTGCCAACAGTGCGCAGTGTGTTTTTCCAGGCACAGCAAGCCCAGCACATCTCTATGCAACACAAGCTTTAACGGGGTCATTGTTGGATGTAACTTTTCAACTCGACCTGACCCGAAAATCTAATAAGGACTTGTATATTTGTCATAGTATTCCAAGAAGGAGCCGCCGCCCCCAATTCAGATCCTTGAACTACAGTCCAGAAGCATATACTCAACCCTAAACCATGAACCTTAAACCCCCTGCCCAAAGTCTGCAGGCAACGTATGCAGGCTGACCTCATAATGCAAAGAATACGAGTTGCTCAAATGAGGCCTGTCAATGAACCCTAAACCCTAAAGCGTTCCTCATTGAAGAGGCTTGGGCTGCCTTTTGACCCACATGCTCTCAACCTGAAACACCAAGGCTTCAGGGTCTGGGGTTTAGGGTTTAGGATTTCGGGTTTAGGGTTTAGAATTTAGGGTCTAGGATTCAGTCTTTAGAATTCAGGGGTTAGGGTGTAGGGTTTAGGCTCTCAATTCAGGAAGTGAGGTATCCAGGCCTTTATACCAAAAGATTAGGGAACTGATGTATTGTAAAGGGTGCATTGGTTAGTCTAGAAAGGTCTCCCACAGCCTACCCCCGTACATCCCTGTATAAAACCAGATTTCATTCCACTTACAAGTTTGTTATCCTTTTTCTGGAAGCTGAGGTACCCCAGATCCTCATAATTTAGGGAAACCCTAAACCCTACAGTAAACCCTAAACCCAGATCCTAATAATTTGGGAAAACCCTAAACCCTAAACCCAGATCCTAATCATTTGGGAACCGAGGCACGCAGGCCCTTCTTAAGGCTGATGCCCCCGGCTTTGTTGTGGTGGAGCGCATCGCATGGCCTCAGAACAGCCTGCAGGACGAGGGTGTAGGGGTTTGGGGTAGTTTACTAACCCGAAACCCTAAACCCTTTACTAACCCTAAACCCTAAACAGCATATTATGCTGTATTATCCGTATGTTTTACGGTTGTTTTTTCGAGTTCTGGGGGTTAAGGAGCCTTGGGACTTCGGGTTGTTAGGTTTTGAAGGTTAAGGGTGTACCTAGACCTCAGAAGTATGTAGAATCATGGCCCTTTAGGGTTTTAGGGTTTATAGTCCCCCTTAAGTAGATAGAATCTGGCTTTGTGTATATTATAATGAGATCCCCATATCCACCATGTTCTATCCGCTTAATGGGAACTATAGGGTTTGGACAACTATTTGACCTACTTTTGAGATCCTTGTAGGGCTCGAAGGGTTCATAAGATTCCGCGCGCCACGTGGCCTAAGAACAGCCTTTAGGAGAGCCCTAAACCCTAAACTGATTAGGGGTTCAGGGTTTAGGGCTGGGGATTTTTCCGTTCATGCCGGAAGGTTGGGAGGTCGGTATTCCACCTTACCACAAGATCTAAACGTCATCTAATGGGCTATTCTCAGAATTATGGGCCCCATTCGGTTATAGGCTCTATTGCGGCACCTAATATTTAGGGGCACCAAAATGGGACGCCCAAATTTAGGAACTACCCTGGTGTCTGGTCATGCTGCAACTTTCAGTTTGTTGCGCTTTACTGAGGGGTATTGGGTTGAGGCTTAAGGCTTCGGAGTATAGGGCTCTGGGAGTAGAGGTGTCTTAGACTTTAGGGTATGAAGTTCTGAGAAGTCGGATGTAAGATGAATAGGCTGTGAAGGCTTAAGAACGTAGAGCTTTGGGACTTGGGGTCCGCACAGTATGAGCTATAGTCTAAACTCCTGTATCCCCCTCAACAACCCCCATAACGCTCCCACCTACAGTGCCCTATACACCCCCCCCCCAAGAAGTTTGAACTATAGCTCGTATACTGTATTCCCTTTCTCACAACCCAGCTTCCGCTGGTCCTTAGGTTGCCAAGGAGTCTACCCTTCCATACCCAACCCAATCCAGGCCCTATTTGCAGAGGAAAGGACACAGCAGTCTCCTTCAGGCTCCTTATAAGCCCAATATATACCCTATTGTAATATGGTAGTTTCCATTTCTTTTCCATTATCCCTATATAACTCCTAATAATATGTCCCATATTCTCATAGAGTTGTCAAAGTTGTTCTGCTTTTTATTGGGATGCCCGCCGCATTTTATGGGAACCTAAAAGTGACCATGAGTCCGGCTTCTTCCATTTCTTGTTTGGGGGCCAAGGTAAAGGCATGAGGTATCATGAGGTTAATCTGGAAGATGTGGAAGCTCCGCAACTGGTTCTTGTTGAGGAGCTTCAGTCAAGTTTGCAAACTGGATTCACAGAACAAACAGAATTTCCTCATTGTACCTTAACCTACCCTCGGGCTCCCCTTGACCTAAATAGTAGGTTACTGGCCTATGTAACTATAAGGTATATACCCTGCGACGCCTTCTCCTGAGCTATAATCTAAAATCCTTACAGTGGGTTATATGGGCGACCCCCCAGACCCTAAACCCTACATTATAGGGGCTATTAAGAGGGATACTGGGAGGTCAAACCATGGCTCACATGAGAGCATCAACAGTTCTGCTATCTGGGTAATAATCCCGAAGCCCTCTGCCTGTGCTGCTGCTAAGAAACCTAACCCTAGGGCTCCAGTTACCTAAATAATGGGTTTTGGGTTTTAGGGTTTAGAGTTTGGGGCCGTGAGGCCGATGCCGAGGGCCATGCAGGTGCCCCAGGCGAGGTAGGTGCCCAGGTCAGGCAGGTGCCGAAGGTCAGGCAGGCGAAGGCGACCGTCCGGTCATTGTCAACGGAGTGGAGCTGAATCTTGAGTGCACCCTGGCTACACTCAGGGCTGCAGCCCAATCCTTGGGCTTGGGTAGATCCGGCGGGAAATCCATTGTTCTTCGCCGCATCAAGGAGCATCTCGCTCGCAATGACCTGCTGTGGGCAAATCTGCCCGTGGATGAGCATGTGCCTGCAGAACAGGCGCCGGTGGCCGAGCCGTCGGCCGAGGAGAAGCGCAAGCATTCCCTTACTCACACGCCATACAAGGCACGGGTTTGCTCAAAAGATGAGACTTCGAAACATAAGGGAGCGATTCATCACTTCTGGCATGCTAAGCAGGCGCCAAACTGTTGAGCTGTGTGGCCAGTTCGGACGACAAGTTGACTGCTTAGCACTTGTAGTTCGAGCAATCCCGTTACTGTAGATACGAGTGGGTGATAACCACGGTTGTTACAATAAGTCCTAACTAACCAAAACATCCAAGTAGGATCCTGTGATAAGGCATGTGGGTATAGAGTTGATATAGAGGGTTTGGCTCCACTATAGACTACTGAATCTAGTGCGCGGGCGATTCAAGTTCTGGGGGTTTCAAGATTGTTGTTTCTTTGGTAAGAGCAGGGGTCGTCTCTCCTACTCATGTCCTTGCACACGGCCTGTTTCATTGGCCTTCACCCTCCTGAGGCGGACCCCACATCCTGACACAAATCCGCACATGTGGAAGCCTCATCGAACACCTAGACCACGCACGTGAAGCTAGCCAGATCACTGCATAGATTATCCATTATGGGGGCCAATATTAACAGACAAACCCAATATTAAACCAATAGTAACCCATATCAACCGAATATTTAGGGGCCAATGTCCATGCATAATCAACCTGCGCCCTGAACCTTTCACCCTAACCTTAGCCCATGAAGGAAGGTTCTTTTGAAATTCTGAACCTAATCTGAGAGCTTCAACCCTAATAGGATTTAGGGTTTAGGGTTTGGGGTTTAGGGTTTGGGGTTTAGGGTTTAGGGTTTCTAAATTCACAACCCTAGACCTTGCAAGCCCTGCACCCAAAATCCTGGATTCCCAGCCCTAAGCCCAACCCTGGAACCCTCTCCCCATCACTAAATGGCAAAATCTGAGATGCTTCCGCCACTACTTTGTTGGGTGTTACCTAAAGTGACCAATTTACCACATGATGGGGCATTGTGCCCATCATTTTTTGTTGGCGAAGGCGATGCTTTTGCCATAAATTTTGTCCAGCGCAACCAAAGTTCCAAAAAAGGGTTTTGTATCTGCTATACCCTAAGGTCCCGCTCCTCAACTCTAAACCTAAACCCTAAATCCTGAGTCCTAAGCCGTATACACTATACCGTAAGCCCTCAATCCTATACCTCCAACCCTAAGCCCTACAGGATATGCTTCTGCCACTACCCCCATGGGAAGCCTGGGGAGTTCCCCGTGACCGCATCGTCCTAGCAGTGCACATGTATGCAACCTGGCGCAGGGTTGAAGTACTGGGATTTAGGGTTCGGAGCTTAGGATTTGCGATTTAGCGTTGAGGGTTGGGGTTCTCTGGGGAATATAGGCGTACAGATGGATTTCAGGAGGATATTTATTCAAAGGGGTTCAATGGGGATGTGGGGTCATCCGAGGGAAAGCTGTATGGGGTATGCAAGGGTCCAATCACTCAATGGCTCAATACTTGGGATTTGCATGATATTGTAGTACTTAGTGCTTGTAGATCAGGTTTTGGTTGAGTTTTCTTTTTGAGTCCTCGGACAGAGCGGCATGAAGGAGGTTTCTCAGGTTTCGGGTTTTAGAGGTTCAGAGTTCCGGGTTGGTGGGTTAGCTGGCTCAAGTTTTTCAGAGGCTCAAGGTTTAAGGGGTCCTTTGTGAGAACCTTTTGGCATCTGCCAACATCAACATGTCAATGCACAAAAAGAGCTGCATAGTTATTTGGTCGGGAATGGAGTGATTGGATCCCAGTAACTGTCTGAATATGCTGACCTTACAACCACCAATTTTGAATTTCAGAAACCTTGCAGGAGTCAGAGTTTCTGTGCATAGTTTCAAGCACACTGAGCAACACCATGAGTGGACGCAGGGGACGACTCCTGAAACTTGAGACCTAACGCTTGAAATCTTACTCCCTACGCTATCCGCTATCCCTGCTTTCCTTGGCATCGAGGAGGGAGTACCCCGGTGGACTTCCTCTATACCCTAAAGCGAAGCCCCAAACCTATCTAAACCCTGCACGGCATAGTAAAAAGTTTCCACTTTCTCCTGCATTAATACTGCATAGTCCCTATATATAACCCCTATATACCTTGTGGCGCTGAGGCATGGAGTGGCCCTGGGTCCTGGAGTCCCAAGCACTTCCTACCAGGACGTCGTAGGGTGCTCTCCCCATCAGCATGGTAGCCCCTGCACATGAAGACTTGATTGTTGATTTGCTGTTTGTTTTTTAGGGCTCATTGGGGCTTGTTCAACCTCTTTAATTTTCGGGGCTGCGCATCGAGGCATTGCGTGGTCGTGGTGGTTGTCCTATGAATGTAAGCTCGGGCTGTAGAGGTGTTGTTCCAGGGCTCTAGGTTTCAGGGCTTAGCGTCTCAAAGCTTTAAACACCTCTCCAACAGCCAAGATAATATCCTTTATGCCCACTGTTTTATAGGTTGACGGCTGTTTTATTGAGCATATGGGGCTCCAGGTGTTCATTTGAGATTGCATGGGGGGTCTCGGAGTTAACCTCTTCCGGAAGTGCACTCCTCCCTTTTACTATAGGTCTGCATTCCCAGGGTATGTGATAGAGCCGACGTGGAATCCATGGCGTTACAGTGAGGGGGATGTTGATTCTCGGCGGGCACAATCAGAGTTCACGTTTGGTGTTTTGACTTCATCTACGGGCCAGGGCCAAGGGGGTTGATGAGGCTCTTACCCTGATAAGGGTCAAGGACTCAAACAATAAGATTTTAGGGCTCAAATACCACTATCATTATAGTATTTGGGCTCTAAAACCGTTTTATTGGGGTCCTTGGACCCTTAGGGTTATGTATGGCTACGTTCTTAACTTGTCTGTAACAGAATGTACTCCTGAGGTGACAGCCCTGTCCTGGCATGGACTTACACGATCAAGTGTTGTTCTGAGGACCTGTAGAAGAAGCTCCAAGGTATGAACAATCATACGGATAGCAACCGAAATGAATTTACATTTGGTAGCTCGTCAGCATCACCACCACCGTCATCTAATAGCCCATAGCCATATTGGAGCTTTCAGAAACAGGGTTTCCGCGTACCTACTTCGAAATGCGATAGTTATCATCACAAGAACACCCAAGAAGTAACTTTCCGGAACTCCCCCAACGAAAAAGAGCTGCATAAAAGCAGTATGCAAGCCATTAGCACGGACCCATGACAATTGCTCGCAGAAATTGATCGCTCAGCCCTGCAACGGTGCAGTGGATGGAGCTAGTCTTTGCTTGCTGAGCCACATCATGTCTTGTTCCATTGTGGTATGACCTAGTTGCTCATTTGTGGCCGATGCTGGTGTGAGAGATGGTCCTTTAAGTCCGTCATTGCCGGCCGCTTTCCGTTCTAGCTTCAACTGCCGTGACGCCGGTGAGAAATCAAGCTAGCACCAAGTGTGTTACTCGGCTGCAGAGCAACTCCTCTGGCAACGTGCCTGCAGAATGTGAAATGTGGCAACTGCGGAAGGGCCGTAATCACAAATTGACCCCAAAGCCGCTGACGACGACCTGTTCATGCGTATGCTACACAAATTATAGTAGTTTCCAGTGTCTTTTCCAGTATCCTTGTATAAACCCCATATATCCCCATATTACAGAACTCCTCAATCCCCAATCAGAGATTTTGAGTTTAGAACGTCAGCGGCTTAGACACCGCGCATGATCTGTACTGCCGATCTGAAGGAATCCTGAAGTCGTTCTTCAACGCTGTGGACTACGTCAGCGGCAGAGAGCTCTATGGGGAAATGAGCTGCCCGACTTACAGCCTATGTGGGTGCGAGTTTCAGGGCTAAGTTTACTTCTTATGGGCTTTGCCTTTAAGAACTTAAAGCTTAAGTTTAGGGCTTGACTCCTGTCAAAATTCCGCTTATCCTGAGGATAAGCAATATGAAAGGCATGTTCTTATATGACCCCTAAACCCTAAACCCGAAACCCTACACCCTAAACCCTAAACCTAATATCCCTATCACACCTTCAAAGGGATCCTTATCAACCCTCAGTTTATGTTCATCTTTGAGGCCAAGAGGTCTTAGAGCAGCAGATGGACAAAGACTTCGGCTTCTGCTTAGACCAGGCTGGCGGCTGCAAATCAGGATTTGCTGTTACTGAACTTGAATAAGACATGTCCTGAATGGTGGTTCACTCTGTAGGGTTGCTGGTATATGGGGGCTATCTAAGGTTTAGGGTGAAGCTATTATGGTATGGAAGAAGTATACTGTTTCCTTATACTGCTAGCTTACTTCAAGCTTCTGAACAGCAAGCCAGGATTCGCAACAGAATTGGAGGATCCTCGCATCCACGAAGCCCTGTAAAGCTGTGTTAGGGTGCAGGCTGTTAGGGCTCAGTGTTCAGGGAGGCTTCGGGGTGTAGGGCAAGGGTTGAGAGTGTAGGGTTGATGCTGGAAGGCCATACAGACTTGAGAAGCACCAGGAAGCAACCCACCAAAAACTGGGTTGCTGACAAGGAACTGTATTTAACTTACTATTTGGCGGAACATAATTACAGAAATTACTATAAACATATATATATATATCCATCATGGTAGCTTAAAAGTTCCTTAAGAACACGCACTTTTTCAGGACATTTGCCCGGTGTGGCTCTCTGAGCTTGGTGCTGACCTGTCAAGAGGTGAACTTGGTTGGCTGCTTGGATCCCGGTGTTTTAGAGTTGTATGGGTTTCCCCTAGAAAGTGCTACCATTTGGGGGTCCCTAAAATGAGGGCTATGATATGTTTGGTTTTTATTGGGGTCCCCTATTTTGGGAAACTACGAGTTGTATGGGTTTGGGGTTTATACTGAGCTTCGGGATTTGAATATTCCTCTGCTGACGCTGCTGGTTTGCTTGGGGAGCGTAGCTGGAACAACCACTTGACCTCATGAATGAGACATTTTGTAAGTTCAGGATGTGCGGTAGAGGTTCCCGGCCTACACAGTCCCTTGGAATATTCAAGTACAGAATACTTGTGATGTGGGGTGCCAAGCCTGTGGTGCGGGGTCGCCTTACTTATTATGCTTTATTTACAAATTTCTGGCCTTGGATGTCTGAGGCTAGGTGAAAAATCGTGACGGGGACAGAAGGTTTTTTGTTTCAATTTTGAAGCAAGCATTCCAGCAGGTCCAGATTTGTTTTTTTTTACGTTGGGGAGTGCTTTGGCCTCCAATGCTTTGGGGGTTTCCCAGCAGTGTCCCTAGTACTTATAGAATCTTATAGACAGTAGTGGGTCCTCATTGCAGCGCAAGACATATGTGCACGCATCATTGAGGGTTCACCCAAGAACCCTAGCATAGCAGAACCCTTCGTGGGGCTCGTAGAACCCTACGGCTGCGGCGGCTCGTTGAACCCAATGTGGTGCGGCTACCCATTAATTTTTGTGGAGTCAATAACCTCTGGCAAGTATTGTGTTCACTGGAAGTAGCAACAGATTATGACGCAGCGCAGCAAAACACTGTTTAGCTTGCATCTAGATTAGGGGCATCGAAGGGTCTTCCTCTGAAATGAACTGCCCCGGAATAGTCTTTGTGTTTTTTTCCTGGTCTCTCTCCGCATTTGGCAATATTTAGAACGATTTTAGTATGGAGAGGTGGCATTACTAAGTGGCGCATCTATTCCGTTTGTTTTGTTGATCTCCGTCGGCTTCGTGGCAGCCCAAGAAGCCAATGGAATCTATCTATCAGAGCTTCCGGGAAAGCAGTTGACAAATTCTTGGCTTCAATGCTTCGACAGACCATCCTTTCCATGCAGACGGCGTGCATTTGAGTCACGCCGGCATGGTGTCCTTCACTGGCAAGCTCAAAGAGGGTCCTCTGAAGGCCGGGCACCCATTCATTGTACGACCCCGCCTCAGACCGTTTAACCCCACGACGGCAAGGACCTTATCCCTGACCTCCTGATTTCCGACAGCTGTCTGTGTGCTGTCGAGGAGAAGGCCGGCGTAAGGGAGCGCAAGCTTTGCGACTGTGTGAAGCAATTTGCCAGAGGGCTGGTGGGAGCAAGACCGTGAGGGTACCATGGCCCAGAATCACCTGGAACCCATTCCGGTTGTCCCGGGATGGGGGACGGGTTTTCTGGGTGGCGGTTTCCGAAAATATCGGCTCCGCTGGTCGGGTTCTCGGCATGCTTGGAGACAGGGGCAAAGTTCTTCTTGCATCGACCAGGAATGGCGCATGGCGCAGCTTGAATAAAACCACGAACGTCAAAGTGGTCCTGCTGTGCGCAGGCCTGGGATTGCTTGTAGGCTAGAGCAGTGTATCCGTGTCAGCCTAGGCAACGACGTGGGGTACCCGGATGACCGCGCAGCCGACATGGAGTACGAGTCCACATCCATGAAAGAGGTGGCATCATCAGTCCATGCAACTTGACAACCGATACTTCATGGCTAGGCTTGCGAAAAATACGACTATGAGTTGATCATCATAGACGCGGTGCCTCTCCCTGAGGCGTAGATGTCAGGGCCTCAGTCAATCATCCTTCTGGACGAGGGTGAGAAGCGTGCTGCCGCCGAGGATCCGGCTGCTTCTGAGCGCGGGATCGCCAGTAATAGCGCCAAAAAAAAAAGGGTACTTGCACTCGAGAGTGGTGTAGTCGTAGTAGTAGTAGTAGTAGTAGCTGTTGTTGTTGTTGTTGTTGTAGCAGCAGCTGCAGTAGTAGCAGCTGCAGTAGCAGGAGCTAGACCCTGAAAGGGTTTCAAAACTCATTCCCACCAACTGAACTCGCACATAATAAGCCTCCCTTGGAAGCAATTCTTGGAGATCACTTGATCACCACCTCAAAAAGTATGTAGAGTAATGGCCTTTTGGGCTATATTTAGGTGCTTGGGGCTGTTACTTTACTTACTTCTGGGACCCAGGTAGTTATAGCTTCAGATCGTTAGCAACCTCTGCTGCCGCCACTGGTAGGCGCTCACTGTCCTGCAAGAAAGTTGTTCCCGAATCTGTCACCAATCCCACGAAAGAATTAAACTGCACTCTGCCAGAGTGAAAACCCAAGAGCTAACTGAATCTTCTGTCACCTTAATCCAGTCGGATCCGACTTGAGTCTAAACTCTCTAAACCCTAGCCCTAAACGTAAACGCTGAGCCCGGGCTTTACTAGATGCGGAGGTCCCGGGATCTTCGTGCATACGCTTAGCGCATACATGAGGCTCAGGCATTCAAAGTGCCGATCTAAGGCACTTCGACCTCCATAGCTCCCTATACAGTGTAATATATAGCCCCTACTTGTAATATGGCCCCAGCTTTCACATGATTATCCATTGTGTGTTTTGTTTGCCTCTCTAGTCCCGTGAGGCTCTTGGAGCTCCCTAAGTGGATGCCCAGGACCCCAAACCCTCAATCTTAAACCTAAACACCTAAACCCTTAATCCTATACCCTAGGCCTAAAACCCTAAACCCCCCAAAGTCCAAACCTTACACCACAAAGCCCATGACTGCCCCAAGAGCCTCAAGGTTTGTGATTTAGGGGCAAGGGCATAAGCCTTACATATCCCAACAAGGTGGATAATGGAACCAGGGATGGGGTCTCAGATTTGGTCTGGGCCCCTGGGAAGACGTGCAGCATTTGAGCATTGACCTCTGCAGCCAAGGTTCTTGAAAGTCTGCAAGTATCTGGCTGCTGCCTCAGACGGATAGAAGCCTGTTAGCTTTATGCCTACACGTCCTTACGCCATCCTCTACCAGCCAGTTCTAGCCTAACTCCAGATACTGAAAAACATACTTGAACCTCTAAACCCTAAAGCCGAGCTTGCCCTGGGCAGAGCACCCTCTTTGTTTGGGGCTCAATAGGGTTCATCGGGGTTGAAGGTCAGAGGATTGGTTTCAGCGTCATGTGCCTAAGGGTTCGAGGGTTCATGAGGGCTGATGGGCTTGGGGTTGTTTCAGGTTGCTGGAACTTGTGCTGTATGAAGATCATGAGAGTGTAAGCCTAAAAGGGGTCCCCTCAAGGACCCCCAGTCCTGCTTCCAGAGCCTCCTCCAAAAGGATCCTGCGAGTTCGTGGAAACCTGCAGAAGTTGAACAGCCCAGCCAGTTTCCCTGCAATAGTCGTCCAGGGTCTTCTTGTATCTAACACCTTCTGTATTTCTGCATCAAGATTTAGGCATGTTTCGCAGAATCCTATGATTTGAAGGCCTAAACAGGGTACTCTCGCCCGAAAACCACTACCTGAGATCCTACTGTTGATGAAAATCTAGCTGGACTAAGAACACCTAATTGAAGCCAGCAGCCTTGGGGTATATAGGGCTTTCCCAAAATTGTGGGCTACCTGTTTTGGGGTTGTTTACAATAAGGACTACAGCGTTTTGTGCTCCACATTGGGGATCCCTGTCATCCCGAACTCTAAACTCTAAGCCCTATAGGTGTTATTAAGGGGGCTACTAGGAGTATAGTCTATGGTCTATACCCTGTCATCCCGAACTCTAAACCCTACGCCCTATAGGCGTTATTAGGGGGGCTGCTAGGAGTATAGTCTATGCCTCATATGAGCTATAGTCTAAACTCCTTAAAGGGTGGTTATATAGGGGATTATATAGGGAACTACTATAGGGGTTATTAAGGGGGATACTAGGAGTTTAGACTATGCCTCATATAGGGTGGTGCAA